GCCACAGTGACTACGTGTCACCAATTTTACCTCGGCTCCGGCCACAGTGACTACGTGTCACCAATTTTACCTCGGCTCCGGCCACAGTGACTACGGGTCACCAATTTTACCTCGGCCTCGGCCACAGTGACTACGCGTTACCAACTTTACTTCGGTTCCGACCACAGTGACTACGTGTCACCAATTTTACCTCGGCTCCAGCCACAGTGACTACTGTTACCAATTTTACCTCGCTCCGGCCACAGTGACTACGTGTCACCAATTTTACTTCGGCTCTGGCCACAGTGACTACGCGTCACCAATTTTACCTCAGCCTCGGCCACAGTGACTACGTGTCACCAACTTCACTTCGGCTCCGACCACTGACCCCGTGTCACCAATTTTACCCCAGACCCGATCACTTCGACCTCCGCTGTATGGCATTCATACCACCAATGCTATCCTACTTCATCAACCACACCGCCACTCTTATTAGCTATACTCTTCCCATCTTCCCTTTATCATTCACAAGTGAATGACTTCGGGGGGGGGGGAATAGTGTAAGGGCAGCTATACGAGACACAAGGCAAGGTTCGGAACTCAGAGCTAACCGCACCTCGGTTGCAGAGCTCAGGGTTTACCGCACCTCGGCATTTCGCCATAGGTGTATGACAGCCACAATAGGCATGCCCTCATCTGATCATTTTTCCGTATCAGAACACCCCTTCTCAAGGAACCTGCTCCGTCAAAACGCACCACACGCATTTAATGCGGTTGCTTCGTTAAGGCACGTTACATTCACCTAAAATGTCTACTCCGTCAAGCGCACCATGTCACCATTATTGGATTGACTAAGCCACATGGGTGTGGACAAGCCACGTGGGTGCCTTGCCAAGAGGGATAAAGCCCACAAGGTAAGGCTCGATAAATAAGGCGGAACAAAAGAGAAAAAGATAATTTGAAAGATATTGACTTAAGCATCGGAGTTTCTCCCTGAGGACCAACCTCGGGATTTTGCAGGACCACTTGAAGAAGAACCAGCTCGGAGTAGGAACTCAAGGATATTTAGCAACAACAATATGGACAACATCCAATTATAACCCTGGGAAAGAGCACTGGAAGAGTATTATTCATTTGTACCATAACGTTTTATAACTGCAGTTTGTGTAATATTCGGTGGTATCTATAGTGAAGAGCAGCACCATGCATGACGGACAACACCATCACTTATTTAAGTATGGTACTCCTGTTTTGAATGTCTGTATTATTTAACAAAGTTGAAAGAACCAAACGTGGAACTAGTGTGTCATGAATCATCCTTTCTTTGCCGGCATACAGAGAAGTTAAGTAGTTGCGTTACATGGTTGTTTCTTTTA